GGCCATCCACTAACAATCTCGTGATGTAACCTTCGTTCATGAACTCTCACTCACCTACCCACCTATTCACAACCACCCTCTGTCTTCCGCTTTCCACGCATACACATAAACATACACATTCACAAACATCAATATCACAAGTCCATCATCCCTCCCTAAACTCTGATTTCCTTCGCGGGTATTCACTTACATATTTTTCCTGATATCCCAAAGCTAGATGTATAGCCTCATGCGATCGAAGTACTGAAAAATCTCCCATTATCTCAAAAAAAGTTGCGGAAAACAAACAAATAATTTTTTCACATTCAAATTTACAGAGGTTTGTGGCATTCATTCACCAGTTAGCACGTAAGCTGACTGCCCCGACAGGTTTTCCTTAGAATTCACCGGCGCCCACCGAATAAGCTTCTNTTGTTAAAATTGTTGTTTGGCACGTTTGTGCTCGTACAAAGCGTAGGCGGCGTCCATGCGTGAGTTCGAGTCCAACCGAGGTTACTGAACTTTTCACAATCGACATACAAAGTTCAAATCTGCCGAACAACAGTTTGAAAAAAATAATCGTACATCAGAGTTGAAGTACGCGACTATTTGCGCACGGGTTCGAACCCCAATGAAATTTCGAGGCTGTGATCACTAGAAAAAAACGTAATCAACTGAAATTTGGACAGCCAAAGATTGGGCTGAAATTGGTTTTGTTGTCAGTTGCCTATCCCTGTCATAGTAAATGTGAAACGAGTCTGGGACTACTGGGCGTCAGCCGCCAACCCGAGAATGACTTCAAGACTTCAAGACATGTGTACTTGATGAGCGTAATAGTCAAGTGTGACAAATCACATACTTTTTTGGGTGGATGAGTTTGTCACGATGACTTGTGCTAAACCGTGTATCGTCAAAGTAAAAAGCGGTTGAAACAGCTGCCTCCCAGGTCAACTGGGTTAGCAAGCTTGCGTTCTACCGGTGAGGTCGAGGTTTCGCTACCCTCGATGGATTCGCGGCGCACTGTTGACGAGACCCAACTAGGATGAAACAGCTGTTCCGAATGCTTGCTAGCTTTTCAGTTCAAACTTCATTTGCTCAAGTTTGTTGGCTATGCTGGGTTGTTGACTCCCATTACACATACATGCAAACACACATGCACGCACGCACTCGATAACGCAATTGAGGATCCGGTTCGAAAACCCTTGGTACAGATTTATATCAAATCTTTACCTCTGTTTGTGCTTTGAATCCATAACCATGAAGGTATTCAAGCTCTTATGCGACCATTATTTATGCGTTCCATTAGTCAATTGATTCCGCGGAGTTTTACAGATTGATACTGTGCCATCCATCATTAGAATCGAAATCTGTGTGAGCTTAACCCGATCAGCTTGATCGAGTTGACAGTGGTAATACATGAGCATAGTGCCCAGAAGGTCCCGAGGAAAATGCAATCCAAATTAATATAAATATCAATTCAAACCGCTTTTTTATGACCTAATAAAGTTGTTACATTATCATTAAGATTCATTACAAATAGTGTGTTCGATTATTCCACCTGATTCCTGTGACGATTACCTAGCTAGAGGGTGGGGGTGAGGGTGGGGGACAGAGGAATCCAATATGCTTGGACGGGGGGGGGATTACTCAGATGGCAAATGTTCCGAGGACTTGATTGGGAACCACAAACGGTTCACTGGAGAAATTAAATCGTACTTAAACTTGGGTTGTGCTCAAATTCAATGGAAATATTTGTGATAACCGACAACGGGCACTGAGCTGCTGTTTCCAAACATTCACCGTCTAAAATGAGTTATACTCCTTTGTGGCTTTTAGTCTGGCCTTAGTTTGATAGCGATAGAGCATTTGAAGAGCAATCAGTCTATATTTCCATGTGTTGTAGGCCCATCGATCCACTTGTTAAAGATGTTGATAAAATTTCAAAAACTGGTTTCAAACAGATAACCATATAACAACTGCACTTATTGCACAAGTTATACCAAGTTCTTCTTGAACTGGTAGCTGATTAGCCTGTTGTTGTTAGCACATGTTCACTTTAGAGAACCAAATCCCAATCAGCTGATTTGTATCGCTGATTCATGTAGAAAGCTTGACTTTTCTCCCATTTTGCGGTCGCCTAACCAGTGCATGTTGCCGAAGGCCAATAACAGGCTATACCTTTACATAGCAAAGGCAATCCCCTGTAATTGGTATCGCTATATTCCCAACGGGCAGGCAAACACAGACGAGGGCACATCAATACAGTCTCCTGTATTAGCCTACGGAACACATCGATCGTCCGGTGAACCCCGGGGGGAAATCGATAGTGTGCTTTGAGGGTCCGTCGGATGCCTGTTGGCCTGTTGTGTTACGGGGCCTGTGGGGAAAATCATGCAAGTTTGTGTGCGTATGTACATATCCTAAACCAGTTGGTTTGTCGAATGTGTGTGCGTTAGAATGTGTGGCGGCCAATAGTTCAGGTTAGGCTTGGAATGTGCAAACCCTACCAGTAACTAACACAGTCCCCGGTCATGGTTCTGCTGTGTTGNGTGTTGTTGGTGCTGATGGGGATGGTGATGGTGGCGGTGGCGGTGGCGGTGGTCTATGGACCATCTCGAGGTGCGCGAGGACGCGAAGTGTGTCTATGGCTAGGTCGCCTCTGGACCTCGCGGATATACGGACGCACAAATGCACGCAAAGATGCCCAAAATTTTCCGCTGGGGTTGGATCGTTTAACCTGATGTTAGGCAAACCGGGGGTGGGCGAGTTTGCTGCGTATGGGGTGGGGAACGGGCAGTGAAAAGGGGATTGCAGGCGGTTGTTCACGATCGTTGAGACTGGACTGAGGTGGCTATGTTGTTTTGTGATGCTAGTATCCTCCGGTCCTCCGGTCGTGTGTCTGCTGTAATCCTCATAGCCTTGCAGAAACACACACACACAAACAGGCACAAACAGATGGCAAAAATTGGCATACCAACCCTGAAAATTCTGTGCAGACATTGGAGTGACACAAATCGAACCGCGTGTGCATTGATCTATCGCTACAGCACATACATGCACTTTAAATACTGCATCAGTAAACCCTGATTGCAGACCACTCGGAGACAGACGCTTGGAATAAGTGAGATTTTGAGGTGATTGTCTTTCGACCTGACGTTTCTGCTTTTATCGGGGAAATCGTGTGTTAGCTATTGCGTGCTCTCTATCTCTTGCGCGTTTAAACTCGCCGTGAATTGTGAAACTGTGTCAAACATTCTTACCACGAACCAACCAACATACACAGTACATTCTCACGTGACTGTCCCTGATTACGCGAACGAACCTCAACTCAACTTATCCAGAAAAAATAAACCTGTCACCGAGTGAAGTGACCTCTTATTCGACGATCTTGTGAAAAAATTATTTCCCCACTATCACCGTCTACTCTGCTCGAGTAGCACGCGTGTAAAGGTCTGTGTACTGTGAGGCCGTTAAACGATACGGTCCGAACAGCGTGTGGACACTTGTGAACAAATCTGGACTATGTGTTCTAGTGCAGTGTCCACTTTCGTGACAACGTAGAAGCAGCTCATTTGTTCAGAACATACGATCCAAACAACTCAAACAGAACAACCCTATCCGTATCTTCCTATCTACCCATCCATCCATCCATCCACCCATCCACCCACCCACCCACCCACTCCCCACTCCTTATATCTTAAAACCAAGGTGAAAATTGCGACAAAACAAACGAACAAACAGACAGATCAAAATGTCTGAACATCCAAGCTCCTCAGATTCATCGGACTTCTCTGATGGATGTCCGACAACCACCACAATCAGCACGGTAGCCGTGCAGGCGGGCAGTGCTCGCATCGTATTGGCTGTGTTACGAGTAAGTGATCGTCTACCTCTGATCATAGCTATCGTGGTCACGTTTTGGTGTTTAATCATTCAATATATCTTTTATTCCTTTTTTTGGGGGTGGGGGGGGGGAGACTAGATATAGTACCACTGGGCATCGGTTGAGTGAGAGAATTTATGTGTATGAATGAACCCTGTTGAGGTGAGTGTCAGCTGGTCGTTCACTTAGGAAATCTATGAAACTGAGTGTATACGGTCGCATAGGGAATTGACTTCCTACTGGTCATCTGATAATCAAGTAAGTAGGATATATTTGGAGGAGTTTGAAGCTCGAACAGGGGGTATATAAGGATTTGTATTCGTATAGACTTTTGCATGGACAGATGCCTACATTTCGGTCAAAAATTACACATCATTTCATCAAAAGAAGGAAGTAATTAGTGTAAAACATTCATCTCCCAGGTTGCTGAGAAACTCAAAGGAACAGTGCTGTCGGTTTGGAAGGATTCCAGCGAGATAGGAAACTGTAGAAATTCTGTATAGGTTATTGCGAGAGGGTAATAAGCGATATGCATGAATGAGAGCAGCGTTGGGATAGATTGTCATGTAAAGAATGAGTGGGGTCAGACAGAATTGGTTGCGCAAATGTTCTACACAGTTTGTCAGATAGATCATCAATGGGTATAAAATACACGACTGAGAAATGACAAACCGTGACGGAGAATTTTGAAATCCTTCTTAATTAGACCACCAGAAGTTACCCGGGAAACGATAAAAATGAATGGAAAAACATACTGATAAGTAAAAAACGAAAATATATTTGTTCGGCATGGAACTGCCCTAATCTTCGAAGTTGAAAATATAATCCACGAAGAATCTTCAGATAGTTATGCCCATTGAATGTCCGCTTTTAGTTTATATCAATAGTAGCTCCTAAATAATTCGTAGAAGTTAGAGGATATATGTTTATGCCCGAGGGTTCATGAGGAAAAACGGTTCGAGAGAGAATAAAAATGCATTCGAAGTACTTAGATAAATTAAGAGACAGTGCAAAATGATCTAAAAATTCATGGATATACGATTGGCTGTCGGGAGAAATTTAGAAGTTCCGAAGGCGAATTGCATCGCCCGATCCTATCTTTTCAAGTAGTTTCGGTTCAGTGAGTGTTCAAACAGTCACTACCTTCCCAATGATAGCTCAACCGCTGTTAAATCACACCCGGAAATGACCTATTAGTTTGATTGTTTGACACTTGGGAAGTGATCTCCCATCTCATGTATTTAGGTAGGCTGATTTCTTTCAATAGCCTCGAAGACAACCAGAGTGGGTGAGAGGAAGGAAGCTCGAGCACTTGAATACCTCGTAGAATGCTATAAGTTGCACATATCTCATCAATCACACTCAAAAAGTTTCGTCTGCTTGACGTAGCTCAGGTCAGTTTATCCATTAAAAACACGGACCGAACAGAAGAGGTCACACAACTAGACAAATGGCACGAATTCTCCCAAGACACGTTCACGCGTAGGTTCGAATCCCATTGAGATTTTTGATCTTCGTCAAAATTCATGCCGTAAAACAGTTCTCGTGGACAAACACACGTACACACAGAAGATCAACTCGATTGTAAAGAAGTCCAAAACATTCCGCAATGGGGTGATCACCAAATAAGTCCTGTTTGCTTCCTCACTGGTCGCGATCCGGAAACCAGCCTCAATCGAGGTGTAAGTGAAGATTTTCCAATTGGGTGTACATATATCTCTTCGAATGTTTTTTAGTCCGACTGTATAGGTCACATCACATTACATCGCATCTGGTTTAATTTCCGATGTGTGCACTATCCGGAACGAGGGCTGTCCCACAGTAATGCGCTTTTCAATTTGAATGGAATCGATTGAGAGGCTGAAGCGAAACGGCACTATTAGTCAAATATATTTTGAGCTGGATAATTTGCAAATGCTTAGCCCCCCATCCACCTTTTCGATGGAGATGTTGTGTGAAAGAGTGATTGTAAGTGTCTTTCACAAGCTGTGCAGGTCAAAACCATATTGCACTGAATTACAGGACCACCACGGTTCTCTAACTAAAGCAAAAGATATTTTATCGTGTAACACGTCTAATTAAGTTAGCTGAAACATCGATAGAATTTTCGTAACTGTGGCAGATATCATATTCACCTCATAAACTCCTTATTTCCGAAGGGTGTCTTGGATGAAAAATCTAACGTTCTCCACTCTCTCTCTCCCACTCTCTCCACAATACGGTTTATTTGGTATCCAAGTATACACAAAATCTAATCACTTTGTTTAACTCTGATGCATTGCGAATATTTGATTGGATTGGCGGGTGACAGGGATAAAATGCAGTCAATCACACCCCCATGTTCCTATTTTTCCTGTTTTCTTTCGGCAGTGTTAAAGAATATCAATGTTTCTAATTTCGTTTTTGCTTTCGTTTTATTGAATAGATAGACATGTGTGTAGGTAAGACGGAAACGGCTCTTTCGGTGTTTTCGGTCCGGTTCGAGCGTGTAATCTCCGAAGTGATGTAATAGGGACCTATGTGGCTTGAACGCGGGAACTGAAAAGAGAACCTCGATGAGTCTCGAACCCACGTATGCATGAATGAAAACTCATGTCCCCTGGTGACTATACGACTCTCCGTACCCATTCGCATTCTACGTTCAGTTGTTCAGATACCGTTGAGAATACACGGTGCTGTTTGTCTGAGATTGGACCGTTTGAAACCCAAGCAAATGTTTCCCCCAGTTGGCTACTACATTTATATTGGAACCTGACACAGTGCTACGGCGAACTGAACCACAGAAGCGAAAGTGAACAACCGCGCCGGGAAGGAGGAAGAAGTTGAAAAGCAGAGCACTTTGTCCTCAAAAGTTATGTCCGAGTAGAATTCAAAAGGTCATCTAAATTTAACTTTGAGCTTTGTGCCTCACAGAGCGCATCTGTACTGTTTCAGTGTATACGACCGGAGAA